ATAAGTTCTGTGGTTCATCCCTCCCCCACCTTCCCACTCCTTAGGGGATTGTCAGTCTGTACCCCACTTCCACGTCTCTGGGACTACCCCATTCCTCAAACTGTTATGTTCATTATATTCCACAAATCAGTGAGATCATATGAAATTTGTCTTTCTCTGTTTGGCTTGTTTCACTTAGGATGATACTTTCCAGGTCCCTCCACGTAGTCTCAAAGGATAAGAGATCTTTCTTTCTTACCGCTGCGTAGTACTCCATTGTGTATATGTACCACAGCTTTTTGATCCATTCGTCTACTGATGGACACTTGGGCTGTTTTCAGATCTTACCGATTGTAAATAGTGCTGCTACAAAGATGGGGGTACATATATTCTTTCTTATTGGTGTTTTATGCTTCTTAGGGTATATTCCTAGAAGTGGGATCACTGGGTCAAGCTCCATTTTTTTTAGAATGTCATATAAATCCCGAAGACCCTAGCTCCCGCCATCTCTCCATTCTCCCATTGTTCCTCCTAAACTTAAACTAAGAAGCACCTGAGTTCCCAGCAGAGCCAGGCTCTCTCTCACTAAGTATTCTGCAACTGCGGCTCCCTCCCATTTCCCACACTTCTATCTCCTACCATCATCCATCCCCTATTAGTTACTCTGGGAAACTTTCTGACTGAGAGATTCATCAATTCCCTCTTCTCCAAACTCCTATGGAACCCAGGATACAGAACCTGTACAGTGTTATGTATGTTCACTCCTCTATCTCCACGACTAAATCATTACCTCCCCAAGAGCAGATACTGTCTTTAATCTATACATGCTAGCATTAAACACACAGGTGGCATTAGAAATTTACTGATTTATTTACAAATTCATTGTAAGAACTGGTACCACCTCAGGTAGTACTTGAGATTCAATAATCCCATCTCATTTTCACTACTGTTCCTGCTGGAGGTATTAAGGTCTCAACCACAAGAACTGCTCATGTCCAAGACACTCAGCACCTGATTGTTTAACACACACTGTTCTGATATGTGTTCTGAGGACTGTTGGAGCTAACAAAACACATACTGAAGTTCAGGTACTGAAGTATATACACTTACCTAGAAAAGAGACTGAATTTCTTACTCAAACACTATTTGTTCTTATTTTAAGCACAACAAATATTCAGAATTCAGAATATTAGAAGAAGAAATGAGAGGTCTAAGCTAAAAATGCAAACACAGGTGCAACAGCAGAAAGATGACACACAAAGGTGAAATACAAAACTACATAAGTGGGGGTTATGTGGTTAAGGAGCAATAATTCTATATATTTTAACTATGATACAATATAAAAATTAATGTTTATAATTATGACTTTCGTCATCAAAAATAAAGACAAAAAAATCCAGGTTAAACTATTTTAGGTCTAATAAGGTTCAAGGATAGTAGATGACCAATTTTATAAAAGGAATCAATCAAAGAATTAAAAATTAAATATTACATCTATAAAGAGTCAACTTTCTACTCTTTGCAGAATAAACTTTTTTGAAATATATCATTCCCAAATAACAGCAGGGATGCTGACTCTAAGCTACCAATCACAGTCAGACAATAACCAGTTCTTGTAACCACAGGTATCACTGTCATCATGATAACACATCCATTCTGAAACAAAACCTGGACCTGCCATTAGCTAATTGGTGGTAACACTATCCAAACACACTATGAATACCATACCAAGGGCCATGGTGTATCATAACCATGGACACCAATAACTAAAGACGTTATAGTAGGTGACCTACCATTCTTTATCAGACCTCCATAGAGCTTCGCTAGCACATACCTTCAGCGTCCCTGGTATAAAATTGATCCATATGTGAGAGTACTTAAGGAGGTTTTTGAGACATTAAGCACTCTGTATGGTAGGATTTAGAGAGCAGCACTTCAGAGTGAAGAGACAATTCACAGCAATGGTTACACACAGCTCTAGGTCTGAGTCCCTACCTTGGTAAAGAGCCGTTGTGAGCCTGGAATACTTTACGCTCAGAGACTCGTTTTCTTCATTTGGTAAGTGGTGGTAATAGTTTCTACTTTCTAAGCTTCTTAGGAGGAATAAATCAGATAATATACATAAAGTGTCAATGTAGATTTTCAAAAACCTAGCTATCATGATTATTAGATGGAAAAGGGTCTAGGACAAATTTTGGGAAATTGTATGCAGTATTACTGACAAAAGAAACAATGTCTAAAGAAAGACGCAGAAAGCTTCACGTGATGGGCAAAGAGCTTTATATTTTTAAGTCATAGGAGACACTCTCTGACTCATAGGTTGGTTCATGGAAAAGTAAGTTTAAATGAGGACGCATTAAAAAGTACACCCAGCCCTAGCCGGTTTGGCTCAGCAGTTAGAGCGTTGGCCTGTGGACCAATGAGTCTCGAGTTTGATTCCAGTCAAGGGCACGTACCTCAGTTGCAGTTTGTCCTGGGCCCTGGTCAGGGTCATGTGGGAGGCAACCAGTCAATATGTCTCTCTCACATCAATGTTTCTCTCTCTCCGTCTCTCCCACTCCATCTGAACAAAAATGGAAAAATATCCTCAGGTGAGGATTTAAAAAAAGCTCACCCATATACTGTAAAGACATCAACTTAGCAATTAATGCAAGTGTTCTGATATAGGGCCAGGCCCTCTTGCTGAGTAGAGGTCCATTCACTGGGGCTGGGCACTGACCTCCTTACACAAGCAATCCCCCACTACAATGTCTGCCATGGCCAGGGGCAGTCACTTTAATGCAAAACAGGAACAGAAGGACATTGGGAAAGCAATTCCTTCCAGATTTGTCTGACACCACCTCCTCCCTACCCCCCCCCCCCAATCTTTATGGTTTACTTGCTGAAACTAATTCAATAATTTTTGTTTAAAAACAAAATCTCTCCTTAATGGAATCTTTCCAAAAATTATCTTTCATAAAAACAAAAACCCTTTCTGTACTCATATTTTATTAGTTTAGGCAATAATCAAATAAACTAGTTAACAAGAATATAAACACGTTTTGGAACAAACACAACTAGCTTCTGCTAAACATATACCTCAAATGGAAGAAGCAAAAGTGCCCAGGTCTAGCAGAGGATGACTACTTTCTAATTGTCCAGGTCGTGCTGATATCAGCAATGGGTTTTAACAAGTAGCTAGAAGAGAATGCTAATTAATTCAGCAAGTTGGTTAATTTATTGAATTACCAGAACTTAGTGCCAGAGGCATTCTGACTTGTTACAATCTTATTTCTGATTTCAAGTCACAAGCTGATATGAAAAAAATATATATACAATGGTTACAACTTTTGAGGTTGGTACCATAAGAATTACACCCCATTCATACCTCTAAAATCTCTAAATTTACTTATATTTCTATTTTGCAATTCACAATAACTAGATCATACTACTGAGCATGCTTAAATACTACAGTTTACATTCTGAGCGTTGTTATTAATATAGTGTGTTTCTAGAGCTAATTTTTCTTTTAAAAATGTTTTTCAAACATTTTACTTTTTTGTAGTAGAAATACCCACCACCACTCCCCAAACACACTTTAACAATGAATGCAGAGCTGCTCTGATTAGGGTCCAACTTCCCCTCTACTACAGAGCAATTGCGGAAGCTTTTCTGCACAACTCCAGAGCTTCTCGGGACAAAGGCTAAACACTGTTTCTTTAAACTACAATCAGCAGCTAATATTAAACCAAAAAAGTTATGGAACTTATTAAAAGGTTTTACCTTGCTAATTAGGATATTGAGTCAACCAAAATGATTTCTGATTCTTATCGTTACTCTAAGTTTGAAATGCCATTGAATTTATTGAAAGAAATAATAAAAAAAATTTAATCATTTTGCTAAGCTGCGTATTTTATTAAATTTGAGTTTTCATTGCATTTAATCTTTAAGTTATCCTAGAGTAGAATAGATTCAACTACACACAAGTCTAAATAAAGAGAAAAAATGGTTCTCAAAAGGGGTAAAAAAGGTGAGGCTGATGAATAATAAACAAATTATATAAATATGTACATCTTATGTAGAATCATTTAAATAAATGTACCAAAGTAGAATCTGCCATTTTGAGACTCAGAATCTGTGCAGTCAGAAACCTGACATCGTGAAGGCAGAGAGCAAACATGTGTCCAGCCCAGTAAACTGTTGAATCTGGTCACATAATCTAAACATGTAAGGTATGCAAAGGAGAGCAGAGTCCCAGCTAGATCTCATTACCTTCCATTTGGTGTTATCATCCTTCCACCAATGATAAAGATTACAGGTAAGATCTGAATAAAATATTTCCCACCCACAAATTTTGTTTTGGATACAGGTGGAGGAGCAAAGTAACTGAAACAGTAATTAAAAGTATTATAGAAAGTATCAAATCAGCATACTTCAAAGCTAAGTGACAAGAGATGTAAGAGACCCAGAGAAGGGTTTTAGAAAGTGCCTAAGCATTTCTACATGAAGAAATCAAGAGATCTGATAAACATTCTGTGAAGAGTATAACCCTTCCTTCCATGATAAATTGAAAATGGACAACAAGGAATTGGCTAAGTTAGAAAGTTTTTCTCAGAAGAAAACTGTCTGTAGAAATAAAGCTGTAGTTGTATCTATAGGCATCAGTGTATGTGCACACAAAGGTAGGTAAGGAAGAAAGTAACTAGCCAGTCGGGTTCAATCCTGGCTGCAGTGAACCACTCCCTTTAGTATACTGTTAGAAATAACCACTTGATTGTAGATCCAGAGAGCAGTAGGGCTTAAGCCTTGACTGTTGTTTATCATTTGGGAAAACAAAGGATGAACATTCAACACTTCCCTAAAACTATTCTCACTGCTTTGAGAAGACATGAATCTGGCCCAACTTGGCTAACCAACATTATGAAGAGAAACAACCATATTTCCTGTCTTTTCAAAAACCACCAACTAAAGTCCAATAATACTTTTGAGGTATCTCAATTTTTATGAACACCATTAAAGCACTTGGAAATGATTCTACTTACTCTCCATCCACTTCTGGTCTTTTACACACACAATGAAACTTGCCGCCAAAATCTATATAAAGATCCTTCTCCACAATATGAAAGATTCGTCCAATGACCACTTTATCTTTGGCAGGTCCCATCTGGGTAAGAGGAGAATGTCTCAGCATAGACGCAAAGGATTCCACACTTTTCAGAGAGCCCTAAATATAATAAGAGATATTTATATGCATATAATTCAAATATAAAGGTATACTGTAGTGGGTATAATAAAGTCTAACAGGAAAAAATGCTTAAAGTCAGTTTGTTGTATATTTACATTTTGTAACAATAATAAAAGATATTTACATGGGATTTTGCTTTCAAAAGCCAGGTATACTCATCAATTTTTTCTCCCTTTTCTTCATGAAGAGGAGCCAGAGAAAATTAGGCATCTGCACTTGGTATGGGATAGTGTGCAGTACTCCCGGAGGACAAACCTGAATGCAGGCTGGGGGGGGGGGGGGGACTTGGTGAGCAAAAGAGTGTGTGCAGGTCTAAGGGACAGCCGCTACTCAGCTCCAGCTGTCACTAGTCCAGTGCTGCCACATCTTTTGATTTTCCACAAAAAGCCATAAATACATATATTAATGTAAAACTTCCAATTTTTAAATGTTTACATGTTGTAAAGAAATTTTTCATTTTCTAAGTCTGGAAAAACACATTATGGCCCATGGACCAACAGTTTATGACCTATGCTTCAAAAAAAAGAAAGTCCAACAGCCCTGGTCAGTTTGGCTCAGCAGTTAGAGTACCATCCCTCAGACCAAAGAGTCGCAGGTTTGATTCCAGTCCAGGGCACGCACCTCAGTTGCGGTTCAATCCCCAACCCTAGTCTGGGTCATGCAGGAGTCAACTAATCAGTGTGTCTCTCTCACATCAATGTTTCTCTCGCTCCCTCCCTCCCTCCCTCCCTCCCTCTCTCCCTCCCTCCCTCCCTCTCTCCCTCCCTCTCTATCTGAAAATCAATGGAAAAATATCCTCAGGTGAGGATTTAAAAAAAAAAAAAAGTCAACATGTTTTTGGCTGATGCCAAGTCCCTCAAAGGCTGGAGTGCTTGTGGTGATGGGTTTGTCTCAGTGGGCTGAAACACTGGGAAGGAATCCTCAGCACACAGAGGTCGATCCAAACCAAAGACAAGTTAGTAGACCTAGATGCCTAAAAGAGCTAAAGGTAGCCAGAAATATTAATGCTTTGAGCCATAATACTAGATTTATAACTCTACACAGTATAATATTAATAGTCCATAATCAAGCATCTTGAGGAAAATAGTTCTTTTTTGCAGAGAGCCAATGATAAAACAAATTTTACAGGCTCAACACAGATGTAGCTATGAGTTGTCCTCTACAGGTAATGCAAAGTAAGTCACCAGTGACAAGAGCAACTACTCTGATCCTCTGGTGGAAGCCATGAAGTCAGCCACAGCAGCTGCCACTGGAGCAGCTGAGAAGAGCACTGGTCACGGGAAGAGCAGACAGAGCATCAGCTGGAGGGTCTCATCCTACTCTGTCAGACATGGTCCTTCCCACTTTTCCTGAAGACTTACTTTCACATGACCCCTCCCCTGTGGTTAATAGCTTCTCCCTCTGCTCCCCTTCCTCCCCCTCCCTATCCCTGCCCTTCCCTCTGTTTTTCTTTGGAAGACTTTCAATTGAAGCCATGGTCTAAATAAAACAGCCTTAGATGACAGGAAGATACAGCAGTAAATCCAATAGTTAAACATTTATTCAAAATAATTCAGCCATCACTAGGGCCTGCTCCTAAAACAACAATCTCCTTTATTACTGTAAAGAGATGTTTGAGCTAAGATTAGTATGACAGTAAATGGTATTTCCCCTGAAGTCTCAGAAAATAAAAATATTCAGTGTTCTCAATGATTTAAAAGATCTCTTGTTGGGGTGGTGAACACACAGTACAGTGCATAGATAATATGTTGTGGAATTGTGCATCTGAAACCTGTATCATTTTGTTAGCCAGTGTCATCCCAATAAATTCAATTAAAAAGGGGGGAGGGGAAGAAACATGGGCAAGAAAAGGCCCATTATTGCTAAAAAAAAAAAAAAAGCATGAAGTCAACATTTAGTTATTCATTATCTTCCATTAAAGTAGTACCACCTGTCATTTAATGAATATTTTCCCAAGTTACACATCTTTCTGAGGTGGGTATATATTTGAACTATATTAATCACTTTTCAAAGTTGTCAAATCAGTACGTTTGAAAAAAATTCCCCAAAACAGCAAGGATGAATGTTAGAGTATAAGTAACAGTTCTAACATTAAGTATCCACAAACATTGCAGAATAATGTTTTGTGGATACTTAATAAGGTTTTGTAAACCTCTTTAAAATAAAAACAAATTTAAAAACTTTCAATGCCAGCCCGGCCAGTGTCGTTCAATGGTTGGACGTCAATCCATGCACCAAGAGTCACTGGTTCGATTCCCAGTCAGGGCACATGTCCAGGTTGTGGGCCCAATTCCCAGTGGGGGGCATGCAGGAGGCGGCCAATCGATGTTCTATCTCTTCGATGTTCCTGTCTCTCTCTCCCTCTTCCTTCCTCTCTCTCTAAAAATCAATAAAGAAAAAAAAAATGTCAATGTTAAAAAAATTATAACAATAAAATAAAAATATCTCTTGAGATTCTTAGTAAATCTGTTGTGAACATATATCACATTATAAACTTTATAAAATTATGAATAATTACTTTTATTGAGATGTAATTGACATATTATATTAGTTTCAGGTGTACAACAGAATGATTCAAAATCTGTACATATTGAGAAATGATTACCACAGTAAGTCTAGTTAACATCCATCACCACAGTTACCAATTTTTCCTGTGATGAGAACTTTTAAGATCTAATCTCTTAACAACTTTCAAATATACAATACAGTTTTTAACAAGTAACCATGCTGTATATTACATCCCATGATTTACTTATTTTTTTGTAACTGGAAGTCTGTACCTTTTAACCCCTTCACCCATTTTCCCACCTCGCCTCACCGTCTACTTCTGGTAAGCACCAATCTGTTCTCTGTATCTATGAGCTTGAGGGGAAGGGTTGTTTAATTTAGGGGTTTTGTTTGTTTAGATTTCACACGTAAGTGAGATCAACTGTTATTTGTCTTTCTCTGACTTATTTCACTGAGCTTAATACCCTCTAGGTCCATCCGTGTTGTAGCAAAAAATAAGATGTCCTTCTTTTTTTATGGCCAAATAATATACCACATTTTCTTTATCCATTTATCTACTAATGGATACTTAGATTGCTTCCACATCCTGGCTATTGTAAATGCTGCAATGAACACTGGGGTGATATACCTTTACAAGTTAGTGTTTACATTTTCTTTGGACAAATACACACAAGTGGAATTGCTGGATCATATAGATCTATTTTTAATTTTTTGAGGAACTTCCACACTGTTTTCCATAGTGGCTGTTCCCATTTACAATCCCACCAACAGAGCACAAGGGTTCCCTCTTCTCCACATTCTCGCCAACACTTGTTATTGCTTGTCTTTTTGATAACAGCCATTCTAACAAGTGAAGTATGAGGTGTTATTTCACTATGGTTTTGATATACACTTCCCTGATAATTAGTAATGTTGAGCATCTTTTTAAATATTTGTTGGCATCCATATGTCTTCTTTGGAAAAATGTCTATTCAGACCTTCTGCTCATTTTTTAATCAAGTTGTTTGTTTTTTGCTATTGAGTTCTTCATATATTTTGGACATTAACCCCTTACCAGGTATATGATTTGCAAATATTTTCTGCCATTCAATAGGTTGCCTATTTATTATGTTGATGGTTTCCTTTGCTATGAGAAGCATTTGAATTTGATGAGTGCCACTTGTTTATATTTGCTTTTGTTGTCAGATTCAAAAAATGATCATCAAGACTAACGTCAAGGAGCTTATCACCTATTTTCTTTTAGGAGTGTTATGGTGTTAGGTCTTATGTTGAAGTCTTTATTCCATTTGGGTTAGGTTTTGTGTATGGTGTAAGAGAGTGGTCCAGTTTCATTCTTTTGCACATGGCTGTAAGGTTTTCCAAACATCAGTTATTGAAGAGACTGTTCTTTCCCCATTATATAGTCTTGGCTCCTTTGTCATAAATTAATTGACATTATATTGTGGGTTTATTTCTGGCCTCTCTATTCTGTTGACCCATGGATTAATACCTGAATTTGCTTTTCAATTGTACACTCACTCTACCTTTTTTGGAAACTATATCAAATAATCAGACAAAGCACTCCTTCAAAAATCAGTCTAGAACTATCTTTGAATTCCTCATTTACTTTGTTAAATGGCTTCTAAAAATAATAAATGTAGCCTGGCCTATGTGGCTCAATGGTTGAGTGTCAACCCATGCACCTGGAGGTCACTAGTTCGATTCCCAGTCAGGGCGCATGCCCAAGTTGTGGGCCAATCCCCAGTGGGGGGCATGCAGGAGGCAGCCTACCAATGTTCTTTCTCTTCAATGTTTCTATCTCTCTCTCCCTCTCCCTTACTCTCTCTCTAAAAATCAATAAAGAAAAAAAAAATTTTTAAATACAAATAATAAATGTAGCAACTCCCTCAATCCATGCTGACAACCAGCATTATTAGCTCCTCTCCTGATGATGCTGACACAGACTGTAGGCACACTGTAACCTGCAGGATGGATCATGGAGCGCAATGTCTAACCCCGGTTATGGAAAAACGCTGCTATAAATCTCATTTATAGAGCTATCATAGGTAAAGCAGGTACCTTAGAGTTGACTGCCTCCTTTAAGAACTGATCATAGACCTCAGATTTCCTAAGTATTCCTGTTAATCTGCTGCACTATTTCCCTTTTGAAGGCTAAAAATTGAACAGGACTCTCCAGGTGGAATGGGGAAAGGTAAAGGGATAACAACTGTAGGAAACAGCACCACTTTAATTCATTCATTCATCAAATATGTGTTGAATATTTGATGTGTTAAGTGCCTGTCTTGCACCAAGCTCCACTCTAGCCTTGATATGAAAATCTGTGAAATGGTAGGGGAATACACAGTTAAACAACATGACAATAGAGATTAGGGTCCAAAAAGTTGTTGAAAACAATTGCTACCCTCATTTAGGCTATAAAGAGTGTTGTACCACAGGCTAAGAGGGTTAAACATTAACCTATAAGTAGTGGT